GGAGAAAAATAAAACGAATTCAAGCTAATGGCGGAAGATAATCGCAAAATCCAAAGAACTAAATACGGTGCTCATTAAATAAGCAAAACAGGAATAGTAAAAACTCAAAGATAATGCTGTATGAAAATTTTATACGAAAAAAAATGCTTACGCGGTTTCGCTTTTCCTTGGAAAGAGATCTCCTGGAGGCGAAAAGAGGAATCAGGAAGGGTTGCACATGGCGGAGTGGGAGAGGCTTCAAAGGCAGGGGCGATGAAGGGCACCCGCGTGTCATTAAAGGTGGCAACTGGCGAGGGGACAGGTTGACTTTTATGGGCCCTTTGCTTACCCTCCGAAGAAAACGAAACCCATATTGGCAAATTTGGTTCCTGCGATCTTCTCGTTCCCATTTGACACTGAGAAACTCAGAAAAGTAATGAAATGAATGTGCCTTCCTCTAGTGACTCTATTTTTGTGATTATCACACATTCGGACTTAGGTGCTGTTCTGTTCGTCTTATTCTTATTACTTATTGCTTATTCTTATTTTATTCAGATCAGATCAGATCAGATCAGAAAAATTCAGATCAGATCAGATCAGATCAGAAAAATTCAGATCAGATCAGATCAGATCAGAAAGATTCAGATCAGATCAGATCAGATCAGAAGCATTCAGATCAGATCAGAAACATTCAGATCAGATCAGACCAGATCAGAAGCATTCAGATCAGATCAGAAACATTGAGATCAGATCAGATCAGAAAAGTTCAAACATGATTTTTCACTTTTATTATTATATTAAATATTAATTATTATTATTATTATTATTATTATTATTATTATTATTATTATTATTATTATTATTGTTATTACTATAATGATTATTATTATATAATTATTATTAATAATATTAATAATAATATGATAAAAAAAGATATTAATAATAGTTATAATTTTTTAATATAATAATAGTAATATAAATGCAATTGTTAAGAAGACTATTATTATTACAACATTATAATAATAATAATAATATGATTAATATTATTATAATATTATATTATAATTATATGTAATTATAATTATAATTAAAATTATAATTCTTATAATTATAAGTATAATCAATTGTAATTATTATAATTATATCTATAATTAAATATATTTATAATTGTAATTAATTATAATTATAATTACAATCATAATTATAATTATGATTATAATTATAAATATAATATAATATTATAATAATATAATACTAATTATAATAATAATCATATTATTATTATTATTATATTGTAATAATAATATTAATATAATAATATCGTTATAATAATATTAATTGTATTTATATTACTATTATTATATTATAATATTATAATTAATGTTAATATAATTATAATTATTATTAATTATAATTATAATAATTATAATTATACTTATAATTATATTATAATTATAATTTATGATTATAATTATTATTTTTATTATAATTAATATTATTATTATTATTATTATTACCATTGTAATTATTTTACGGAGTAATTATAATAATATTGATAACTATAGTTACAATTATAGAGATAAATATTGTAATTATAATTACAATTATAATTATAATTTTATTTAAATTATATTTGTAATTGCAATTATAATAATTATAATTATAATTATAATTATAATTATAATTATAATCATAGAAATATTCGAATCAGATCAGATCAGAAAGATTCAGATCAGATCAGAAGGATTCAGATCAGATCAGAAACATTCAGATCAGATCAGACCAGATCAGAAACATTCAGATCAGATCAGAAAGATTCAGATCAGATCAGATCAGATCAGAAAGATTCAGATCAGATCAGATCAGATCAGAAAGATTCAGATCAGATCAGATCAGATCAGAAAAATTCAGATCAGATCAGATCAGAACTTAAAAAATTCAGATCAGAAACATTCAGATCAGGCGAAGAGAACAGCTTCTTAATGATTAATTTTTATTTTTAATGCATAATTTTTTGTTTCGCATGTTGAATTATATAATAACAAGAAAAAATGATTCCAGATATTTTTTGGCTATTTTTCATATTAGCTGAAGTTAATGTAAAAGATCATTCTAGCTATTTTTCATATAATCTTTTCTTTATTTTAATAATAAAAAATATTTAAATATAATTTTTTTCATAAATAGACAAAATCAGTCAAATCCAACCACTTCAGCCAGAACTTCATAAATTTTAGCAGAATCGGCCGATTCAGCTAATTTCAATGTCACCGTTGGGCTCTATATTTAGAGGTCTTCAATATAACATCAAAAATATGAATTTATTATGGGGAGAGCTTCAGCCTAGCATCATTAGTGGGCAGAGCTTCAGCCTCAACCCACTTGGAGACATAATCCACAGTAACCAGAATGAATTTATTACCTTTAGAATCCGGGAACAGTCCCATGAAGTCAATGCCCCAAAAATCAAATACTTCACAAGCCAATATAAAATTTTGGGGCATCTCATCCCTCTTGGTAACCGCACCGGTGCGTTGACACTTGTCACATTCCTGCACAAACGTTAGAGCATCTTTAAACAAAGTGGGCCAGAAGAAACCACATTCCAACACCTTACGAGCTGTCCGGTTAAAAGAATAGTGTCCCCCAGTCGGTCCGGAGTGACAATGTTTGAGCACATAAAATTAAATATATTATATTTTTCTCTCTCTCAGTGGAATTTTATATGTTTAATTTGTTCTTATCAACAATGTCAATTATAATGTTTACAACTACATGTTTCTTTAACATTGTGGAAGAACTTTTTTTAATTTGATAAGACCATCCAAATAAGGAGACATACTCGGATATTATATTTGTTAACTTTAATGTGTATCATACCACGTATGATTATCTACATTGTGGCATTTGAGATTCTTTTAGAATAGTCGTGTGGAATCGGAGAAACAAATTAAAAGAGACAAAAAAAACAAAATCAGTTGTGTGCAAAATGCCAAAAATGTAACAATGAGAATATAAAGATGGAAATACAAAATAAAAGCCGAAATGTACTATCCATTCGACTTAAATCAAGTGTTTTACTTGGATCTAGCACAATTATAATGAAATTATTAAAAAGCAAAAGTTGTAATTGAGATTTAACAATATATAGTGAAATGATATGAACGGCATATTTCATTCTTTTCAATAAAGATAGTATTTATTTGGAAGAATTTGACTTTGTATCCCATTTTTGGATGATATCTAACTTTAAATTCTATTTTCAAAATTATTTTCAACTCACTATAAAATTGTTTGACTTTGCGCTCCACTCTTTTTACGATTTTTTGGCTGATGGGATGCACACATTACTAGTTTTGAAAATGGAGTGTAAAGTTCAATATCACCAAAAACATGATGTGTAAAGTCAAATTCTTCCTATTTATTTGTAGACAAGCAAAAAATAAGATACATAGTTTGTGATAAGATAGTACTACTTAGATTGGAATTGTTTAGGCTTACGAGTAAGGTATTGAAAACATATTTCTAGGGATTACAATAAACAAACTTATTATCAAATTCTCTTCTCATCAAAGTAGAATGTTAATGGATCACGACGGTAACTAGATTGTTTCTCGTGCAAATGTCAGCATGTGTAGGGTGTAGATATTGTGATTGTATTACTTAATAGGTCACTCCAGCATCCCTGTTAGCGCTACTTTTGCCATTAAGATTTCAGAGACATTCTATATTAACTACAATTAGGGGCTCACCCTATGGGCTAGTTTAGGTTTCAAATATCCCTATAAATTTCAATCAATCCTTTGTTTGGTTTCACATTCCTAAATTCTTAGAGCACTTTCCTTTTAAGTAGTTTATTTTCTTCTTCATCTTCATTTTCAGATGGTCTCCGTTTCACTTTACAGATGAGACTTATGTTCAAACTTTCCACTTTTCTAAGTTATCTTCTTACTTCTTCTTAGTGTCATGTATCAACCTTCCGAAACAGCAAAAAAAAGAGGTATACTCCTTCACGCTCGTCAGAATTCTCGACCTGATGATAAATGATGTCTGAGATATGTAATAAGAATACATGTGAAGATATTTGTGCAATTTCACTAATTTTCTTACAAACAAGGAATGCTAGCTTGAAGGGACATTTTATTGAAGGGGTGGTGTTTGAAAGTGACGAGAAGCCGAGAAAAGCCAACATCATCATGGCAATAGATGAATCACCATTGTGGATCAATCGGGAAGCAACATCGGGTTAATGTCCAAAACACCAATATGTAACATATGGCTTGGAGATGATTAGCGAAGATATTACATATTATTGAGAAACAACATCCACATAAATTGTTTGTACACCTTCCGCATCATATAATGATTGTATATTATATATACACATCACAATAGAGGACCTCTTCACAATAGGGAGTTTTCAATAAACTCATGCTTTTGAAGAACACATGTTGCAATCTCAACAATAGGAAATATTTCCAAAATAAACGAGAAAGGGGATCTCACACTCAGAATCGAAGAAAAATACTTAAAATGATTGTCAATAAAGAAAAGTTCGAGGTCGAATATGTAGACAAACTCATATTACTGACATGGATGGAGATCGAAGTCTCTTGAGAGATGGTATTCAAGAAGAGTGGTGAACAATGGTTATGCAAATATTAAAAGGGTCAATATCAGACAAAAACGGACAACTACGACAAAATCGAGTGACTTGGAATTTTTTATTGGACTTATTTTAGTCCTGGACCAGAATACACAATAACAAACCAGACCAGACTTCGATAATTGGAAAGTACACATAGACTATAAATCTACTAAACCAGACCAGACTGGACTTATACAAACCTGACCAGGTCAGACCAAAAAAATTCAACCCAATTTAAACCATCCTTACATTTCGGGTTTTAAATCTTTCATTAGCTTCCTATCCATTATTCCATTTCAGTAGATAAATTCCCGCCCGAATTCAAAAATTGCATATTGATTTGTTGGGAAAGTTCAAGAATTAAGGATTTGCAGGAAGATGTTTTAAAAGACGTCTATTTTAAAGTTGAAGTATACTAGAGAACATCCCTTCCAATCAGCCTGAATTGAAACCTAAAAATCTAAAATCCAGTGTGGCGGGAGGCTGTGCCACTTAGAAACACTTGGTGAATGCTAACCAGCACAAAGTCAATGGTCGTGCATATTTATCAAACACGAAATAAAAAAGTCATTAACTAATGATTACGAAATAATTATTCTGATCACTGTCTGAACAAAGCACTACACTAAGAAAAAGAAAGGACAAAAGCACCACAAAATAATTTATGGTGGTGGTGGCATCACTACAAGTCTGGGCCGGGCCGATGAGAATCCACTCAGGGAAACCCAAATAACTGTCCTCGTTCGGTAGTCCAACAAACCTACAACGCCAAAAAATGAATGACATTTATTAGATTTTCCAGAATCGAATCCAAAATCAAAATATTACATTACACTTTTGCTATTACTACTATCGTTACAAATATTCTGCCTTTTTTCAAAGAAAAAAAAAACTGTTACAATATTAAGTTGATTATCCACTTGCTGCATTATAAGTTTTGGGATCGTGTTGTTCAAGACACAAAGTTGATACGAAATGCAAGTTGTTGGATAGTGACTTTGTACCTCAAAAGGTGTCTAATTTTTTCCAAGGGACTTCTTGTTAAAGAATATACCTACTAACTTAAAGTAATAATCATTAGATGTTTGAGGAGTGTTTGCACTCAATTTTATTCCTGTGAAATGATCAATTAGAGATTATAATATAAGTATTTTTTTAATAAAAATTGACAACATCATGGACCGAAGAATATTCCAAAAAATTGACTACGTTTGAAAAAAGTGATTTTGAAAAATTATATTGAGAGTTGAGAAAAAAATAATTTTTGTTTAAGGAAAAATTAAAATAATAATCTCACCTATTGCCGGTCCACTGACAATAATCCCAACTATTGATTATTTTTGTACAATCCCAACTATATGAACCGTCCGCCGATAATGGTCCATGACCAGATATTACCTCCTAAAACAAGTGATTTTTAAATAGAAATTGGGCGTAAAAATCAAAAGTTGAGATTATTTATAAGGATACTTGTTATATCTCTTTTCAACCACTTTAGAAACTACATGAATTTATTTACAGGGACCATTATTGGTGTAAGGTCCCTGAAGTTTGGATTATTCTAAAATAATCGATAGTTGGGATTATTATGAGTGGACCGCCAATAATTGGAATTATTACTATCAATTTCTCCTTTGTTTAATAGATACGGAGTATAAAAGAATACTACCTCCGTTCTTAAACTTTGATTTTTGCACTATTCACATGTTCTACTTTGACTACGTTTTATTTATTAATGTAATAATATTATTTTATGAAAAAAATATTGTTAAACTTGTCTCATTGTAAATTTTCAAAATCCATTTTTTTTAATTTTTTTACTAATACAAAATCATTTATATTAATGGTCAAAGTTGTGTCTCGGCAAGTGTGAAATGTTGACCGTTGCATTTATTTAAGAACGGGGGAAGTATTATCCTAACACGTGAATCCACTTGCTTTCACTTTTTAGTATTCAAAATAAGCAAAACAAGTTGTTTGGAAACACTATATTTTAACTATGGAAAAATACCTTTTTAAACAATGGAAAACATTCTCACTGTTTGATACCACATAATTTTCCCTTATTAATCAACTTTTTTTTTATCAAACATGTATTTTTTATTTCGCATTCTGAAATTGTTGAAGATCACTATTCAAGACTTTTTATTATTTTCTTATGAATATAATATTCTCACAACTCAATAGATTATTGAATTCAATCGCTCCAGCTATGATTTCCTCAATTCAAGTCAATTTAGTCGATTTTAATGTCACCAAAAAAGTTCTTTAGCCTTGCGCATTTTGAAGTATACCCTCCAAGGGTTACTTAACACTCGGGTAAAATTTATAAACACCTAACTATTGTTATTGTTGCATTTTGGTACAATAACTCTTAAATGAAACAAATAGTGTTATAATTAACGTAAATGTTTCAACCAATAAAGTTTCAACCAATAGTACTGTTCATATTTTCTTCCAAAAAATTTTGTGTGCAACAAGAATTCCAGACATAGAGTCCACCCTACGGTGATGACATGAAATAAAGTAATGTAAAGCGGACTACACACATGCAATTTCAGCTGCCACGCAAGATTTTTAAACGAAAATTCTAATAATATTGCATACAAAACATTTGTGTGTAGTATGATACGAATTTAATTCATTTAAGAGCATATTATACAAATTTAATTCATTTCACATTTTCACACCTTAAAATTTCTCAAAAATCATTGTATTACTCAAGGAATTAGCGGTGCTCATCTAGTCAAGTTTTGGCATTTTCAGTTCGGTTTTAGTAGGTTCAATTTAAATCATTGTTTTATCAGTTCGGTTTTTAGTAGGTTCAATTTTTAATCAATCGATTTTAGCAAACTTTTAGAAAAGGCGAAATCAAAATTAAGACAACACAACTTGACTCGGTATCAACCGGTTTGTATCAGTTTGATCAATTTTTGCACATCCCCAGCGATTTTTGTCAATCGGTTTAAATTCATTTTTTAACTTAAACATATGAACTATAAGTCGTAAACCAAGCCGTCAATGGATTAGTCAATTTTGGTTTCATTCAATTTGATTCGATTTCAATGGAATTTTCAACCGGTTTTGATTTTTCAATTTTTTCCGGTAATACTTCTCCTGTTCTTAAATAAGCGCAACAATCTACTTTTCATGTTAGTCAATGCAGAACTTTGACCATTAATATATATTATTCCCTATTAGTATAAAAACTTAATTAGTCTGATTTTAAAAATTTACAATAAGGCAACACCAATCATTCGGAGTCGTGATCTACTCCGCAGTCCGCAGGATTGTCTAGGGCTTTTTTCCCGACGGAAAGGTGGGTTTGATACCCGATGAATATTTATTAACTACTAGCAATACATGCAACGGCAGAGTCTAGCCTGGTCTAGATAAATTTGGGTTGCAGCGTTGCGCAAAGCTTTCTTCATCGATGATTTTAGAGTTTTTAGGGATTGTTTTTCTCTTAGCTTTAACGAGAAGACATAGGATGAAAGACGAGAATGTGAATATGGTGCAAACTCTAGTCAGAGGTCTTGCTTTAACTGTGAGAGGTCGTGGACTCGTGGTGCCATGACCAGGACGACGGCGAGCAACGACTTAAGCGCGTACTTGGAGCTATGAGGATTGGGGAGCAGCGGAATTGGCGAAGGGCGGAGTTCAGCTAGTGATGGGAGACCAATCACTCAATCACAACGATACTAATGGGTCGGCCTCTTCTCGAACCACCGCCATGGTTTGACCGAGGTGTTAGGGTTCAAAAAAATTATTCTACTAATTATTGTTATTTTGTTGTCGAGTTCTTGTTAAAGTCTTTGTTGCTAAGTATGTCGGGATGATTAGGGATGTAGCTTAGTTTATGTCATTTGAAGTATACAAATATATGACAGTGATAGTTGACAAGATAGTTGTGTCATGTTCGTTTCATGATTAGCGATTTGCATTGCTCTTTTAATGGTGATCGTTTTATGTCTAATTGTAAGATTTACAGTCGTAGTGGATAGAAATTAGTTAGTATCAGCCTATCAGGTATGACTATTTTATTGATGAAAAGATCTTGAAACTAATGATATATATAGGCGATTTCCTTTCCAAAAAATTACAATGAGACGAATCTAACTTTTAAAGTATGATTAATTAATACACTAATAAATAAGACTTAGTCAAAGTAAAACATGTGAATGATGCGATATTTAACATGTTTTTACTTACAAAGTAAAAGAGAATCGTGAAGTTTCATTTAAAAAAATAGAAATCAAGAATACAAAATACTTCCTAAAAGCAACTAAAGTGCGCCTTAATAAAATATTACGGAGTACTTCTATCCCAACTTAACCTTCTCAGTTCTCATTAAAAAAAGACGCAATTATTAAACTATTTGATGATAACTATGATGTTACATGTGTATCATTTTTAATATTTGATGATTAAAATACATAGTACTCCGTATTATTTAAAAGTGCTGTTTTTTATTATTTTCTAAAACATGCAAGTGAGTAGCTCAGAATGGGATGGAGGGTGTTACAATACCATTACCATACTAAAAACCTCCTACAAGTAAACCTATATTGTTATAGAAAAGCCTATAGTGGTTCTAAACCATAATGGAACGAATAGTTCAACATTTCTATATTCCTGAATCAACACACATATCTAAGCTACCTTTTCAAAAAAAAAAAAAAATACTCGACAAACTCTCACTCAAGTAGTACTCAGATCATGTTGACTTCTTACAGCAAACCTAGTACCTAAATTGAAGTTGAGTTTTGTAGTCGTTTTATTATTCAAATGGCATTTGAAATAATATTTACTCTGTTTATTTTTGCGGATTTACCCATGCATTTTCTAGTGCCCACAGATATGCCCCTTCTCATGTCCTATATTAAACGCCACTTGCCAGAACTGCGTATCAACATATTGATATTTTTATACCCATGCATCATAGGATTCATAGCATTAACCTGCAGGTTACTAGCTTTTGCTTAAGAAGAAGCAAGATAAAACTTTGTACATAAAATCAGAGCCCACGCATTGTTACTGCTGGGTGAAAATACTGATATCAGTAACGTTCGACATTTTCTCAGAAAAATATTTACCAAGAGAGTCTATGATTGAAATATATAGGTAGAAAAAAATAAACATGAACTAATTAATGACAACGTATGCCATGCGTTTCGATGTTCCAAATGTAATTTGTCAGGGACACATGCAGTTTGTCTTATGTCTTGTAATTTGTTAAATTGATGTATTTTGTCTTTATTATGTATCTAAAACCGAGCAATGCTTTTATTATTTCTGAAACTGATCTTCTATAAATCTAATATATTTTTAAACATCCCAACGAAGCCACCGTCTCAACGAGTTTATAGTTTTCTAACCACGTCAACAATGAAATGTTGAAGCGATAATGTTTTGGTCCTACTTCGGGGTTCACTCATAGTCAGTTGCACGCCATTGTCACATTGAAGCCCGACCCTAGTTTTGGGGCGAGATCAGCCAAAGTGGACCCGACCAGCCGATTCTAGCATGTTAAAAATCAGCCAGAACCGACTAAAAATGAAGTCGCATATAGGATGTTAAGTACCTCTATTGAAACCCATCACATTATCGCCCATTTTTTTGATAGACATTCTCGTCCGATTAAGGTAAAACTGTAAGTTTTAATAGACACATGGTTTGATTCCACATGTGAGTATGTGACCAGAGGAGGAATTAGGAGTTTCATGTTTTCAAAAAATATTATCATTCTTATACTATATTACATTATATTATTAATTGCTATGCAGTTTGTGCAATAATATTGCAGACACAGGTTTTAAATTTTGCCAAATTTGTGAATTCTATAATCGATACTAGTATGCAAGTTTGTCTATCAGTTCGCAATCTGCCTTGGCCTCCGGGCTTTTAGAGTTGCTAAAAAAATGAAGTGCCTGACAAAATAACGTGGCCTACACCGGTTGATTTTTACATTATTTGATTATCATTAGCTATGTAGAGATATTACAAAGTTTTTTATTTTTATTTTTTCTCCTTGGGATAGGTAGGTTTCAGGACACCTTGGATAGTTGTATCAATCATTTAGTTTGCACAAATATGCAATATTTCACAACTCAGCTTATATAAGATTTCAGTAGAAGTGCATAATTTCAATTTACATACAACTCAAATAAACTTGAGCAGGTCCAAGCAAGACTAGAAAATGCTGTAAATATGTCTCCCTTAGGAACCCCCAAGCCTGCTAATACTTCACTGACACACTCACACAACTAGAGAAAAAAGTAACAAATAATGGCACCCTAATATATCAAAGTACATAACTCTGTACAAGAATTCACATTACCAAAGGAAGCACATGCAATCCACTTATATTCCAAAGATATAAACATAGAACTAAAGACTTCAATTTTGATTTTGATTCTCTAAATACCACATTAATAATATATCAGCTTATGAACCACAGTAATGCAAGATGACATCATATTAACTAGTAATTTTATCACTAAGATGATTTTTTTAAGAAAACACTAAGATGAATTTAAAATTGCATAAATGGAGGGGGTAAAGAGCAACCATTTATTTTCATGCAAATGTAAAAATATGACGTGTCAACTTTTTAAAAAATTTGGTCTTGACAATATCGTAACAAGAGCAGACAAAATTCCAAAAAAATAGTAATAATAATAAATATATAAAAATCTCATTCTCCACTCTTAATATGAAGATGGTCATCTATTATTCTATTTCACTTGGAAACTAACAATGATGTGTATGAAATATGTGCATTTAGACTTCCATTAGGCAGGATTCGCAGGAATAAGAGATCAGAATATGACTATATGAGATAAATGTTGCAAGGATTATATGAGTTTGGTATTCCTCTATAAATCAAAAGAGGACTAGCTATGATGTGCAAGTGGTGGTTGGAAGAAATTGTCTACCAAAACTAGTTTAAATAGCCTATGTAGAGAGAGGCCAACAGTTTTGACTGGTTCCTTTTAAGTGAGAAGAAAAGGGGATTACTCACTTGATCCCGAACAATATCTATATCTCCAACAGAGTCGAATTTGATCAAAAGAAGATAATTTTTTATGTAATTCCTCAATAGATCGAACAAAAAATAGGTAAATATAGTTTCCCTGATAAATTTACTCTTCGCCAAAAAATACAAGTATGCTTTAGAATTTATGGCAGTTGTTGCCCACCAAAAAAAATAATATATGGTTAAACATGACTCTATTTGGGGATGGAGGTAGAATTATTTAAAAATTGGTATCAATATTAATATAGTGCTGAACTCTTTTTAGCTCATTTCATTTCATTACAAGCTATAGCTCTAAAGAAAGACAGAAAAGAAAATTTCAGCTACCTACAACTTAGTTGCAGACATTAGACAGCAGAAAAATCAAACTAAGACAGATAATGCACACACCTTAATTTTAATCACAAGGACAATTAGAGCTCATCCAAACAACAAGGTGATGATAAATTACCTGAACGAATGCAAGCACCATTTGAATGAATTCATGATCCTTGACCATTTTGACTATTTGGTTGTTGTTGATGAATCTGCGATAGCAGATTTGCAGCAAATAGTAATGTTGTTCTGTACCTCTCATTCTTATTTTCCTCGGACTCAATACTTTCCTGTCCTGCCCCACAGTTAAGTTGTTGAGAGGGGGCAGCATTCCCTCCAGGTCCCAAAGCCTGGGGGGTTGTAATGGCATAAGGCTGGGGATTCATTGCCTGATTGGGCAACACAGAGGACTGCTGAAGCACAGTGGAACCATACATTGTAGATGAATCTGATCCAAAAACCCCAGGGTTCTGAATAAGTGGACCCTGAGACGATCCATGTGGATTGTGCTGGTCAACATGCGACGGGCCCACCATATTCCCACTTTGTACTGGGTTAATCGTTGAGGCAAATGCATTACTTGACGCAGTTGGGCGCACTTGAAGGTCATAAGGGCGCTGCTCGTGAATTTGACTGAACCCAACCACTCCATGAGCAGAATGGCTGGGGGGGCCATTGAAGAGCGTATGATGAACTTGGGGTGGTGGTAAAGGGTAGGTTTGGGGGTTATGGTGAGCTAGTTGATCATATCCCCACCCCTGTGTATCCTGTCTTTCTGGAGGAGGTGCAACGGTCACATTATTTAACACAGGACCTAAAGTAGGAGATGTTGTGTTGTACTCAGAACCAGAGGAATTATTAAGTGGTAATAAAGAAGTGAGAGTTGCAATAAGTTCAGGCGTTAAAGTAACACTGCTTTGAGGAGGAGGTATTGATGTGGTATTACTTGGGGGAGCTGCATGCAATGGAACAGATTCATTAGTAGCTATTTTTGGAGGGAGTTTCACGTCTTCTCGTAAGGCAACATTGTTATAGTCCATTTGTGAATCCTTAGGAGGCATCATATTGTACGCAGTCTGATGGTAAGATGTTATCTTCTGTGGAGGATCTACAAATGGAGGTGGCTGAAGTGTGTCCATTGGCAGTGGCGGTGCATGTACAGGCATGGCAGACGCTTGTTCAAATTCCAATACTACCCCATATAAACGTTCCGGCCCAGCAATATTCAGAACATTTGTGAGAAAATCAGATGGAGGTACCAAGAACATAGTAGTACTGTCATTGAATTTTGCGACCCCAGCACGGTTCTTGGTTCCTAGGTACCTCAGGAACTCTGTATATGAACTAAAATCCTCTTCCCTGTCCGGCAAGAAGAAGACAATTTTGAATCCAACAGCATCAGCATAGTGTTTAGTTAGCAGGTCCAACCCGGTCCGGGCTGAGCAATTGACTACATCAGGACTGCAGAGTTAATTAATTCAACGTAATTAGTTTAATCTTGAAGATGGAACCTAAAAGTGTGCACTAACTACATAAATCAATCAAAAAGTAAGCAGAAATTACAGAAAAAACCACGGAAAGGAACAATTACGCACATCTGACACTCAATCTCATCACCAATAGGAACACAACGAGCACGGCAAACTGGTGTCCCACCCTTGGCAATAAGGCCACGCCATATATAATCATGACCTGGGGTAACCCTTTCATCTGCTGGGTGATGCCTTCCCCTAATGTTACCAACTGAACCCATATTGTATCGTTCATCAATTTTTAATATTTGATCATCCAATCTTTTAGGGGGAAACGGAACATCATAATGAGGCAAGGCATCGTCAACTCTTGATCTTTTAGATTCCCTGTGCACTTGGGAAGCAGAAGCATCATACACATCCCAACCACTAGATGCTGCTGGCCTGTTCAGTAATTTCGGCACACCTGTAGGAGAAGCTTCAGGTACAGGTGATGAACGTCCCCACTCAGGTCCACCCATCAGATTATGAGGACTTGATTCTTGCAATTTATGTATTGCTGCCACGTTAGGATATTCAAAGCCAGGAGTATTATGATCTAACCTGATTTGAGGAGGGAGGCCCAAAGGCCTCCTCAGCATATCGAAACCGTGAATACCACGAGGCAATAGCCCATGAATGTTATTATTAGGAAGGAGTGAGTGATTGTGATCCAATATGCCTCCCACTTGTGATGGATGGGGTGCAAAATATTCCCTTGCCGGAGGAAACCCACTGTTTGAGTACTCAATGGATATTCTGGGATCATTAAAAAGCTTTCCCTGCAACCCTTCCTTGGCAAGAATTGCTTCTTCCACACTCCTAAATTCAACTAACGCATAATTCCGATCATCAAATGTTTTTATTCTCTCAATCTCACCAAACAAAATCATTGCATTGTGAAGCATGTCATCTTCAATATGAGCAGAGGGAGGATAGCTTATCCACAAGATCTTACTTGGCTGACAATCTCTGCCCCCAATAGGCGGCTGGAATTGTGGCTCAAACTGTGTAAAGGACACAAAAATAACATGTGCGTTAAAATTGACCTTTACAATTATATGCTCTGTTGATACAAAAACTAATAAGTGCAGAAGCAGAAACAGTGCGGTAAATAGAAGTAAATTCAGCACGACAATGAAAACCTAAACCAGATAGAAGATAAAGGATGAAGCATTACGTGTTGCCTTTTGGACCCAGCATGAAATGGGCCAGAGTAAGGTTTCATATAATCTTGTGTATGTGGAACACCTCTGTAAGGAAACTGTCCCTCTTTCGGAATGTCAGGACCTTGCTCCTGCGAAATTAAAAGGATGTCACAAGTTCATGTTAAATACCCAGAAAAATCATACACAAAATAAAAAAAGCTCCTTTGCTTGCACCAAAATAGAGTTTCAGGTGAGCAAGGATAAATTTAAGCCATAACCCAAAAAACAAATCCGCTCTTGACACTTATTTATTTTTTGAAAACACTCTTGACAGTGTTATGACACCAAACAAATAATATCCACTGAGACAATATTTTCGATAGATTCATCCATTCGTGAAAGATAATTTTGAAGATCAAATTTTATCGAGGGGGTGCCAGCAACATATCAATGCTTTAACCAACTCATAGTGCTAAACAAGAGACCGAAGTGTATTTAAGATTACTATTGAGCATTTGTCTCATCAAGTAAAACTAACCCTTCTTGCAGGGTGTGACCTGAGATAATCCACACGAATCTGGTCTCCATTTATCTGCTTTCCATTCATATTTTTAAGTGCTTCGGTTGCATCTTCCAATCGAGCATAGTCAATATAAGCTGTATTCCGGTCCCTTGCGAATTTGAATTCTGTAACTTTTCCAAATTTTTTAAAAAGTTCCTCCAACTCTTCTTTAGAAACAGACTGGCCTACCCCAGCAACCCACAGGCTTTTGCAGGGCTTAGCCTGCCAGAATGTATAGATGTTATCCACCATAGTGCCCATACAAAAATATTTATCACGCTTGCAAAGCAAATATTACTTCAATGAAGAAAAGAAACATGTATTAATGATTTGCTACATATGAGACTTAATCATTGAGTCATGTAACTATAAAGCTAGAAACTAAATTTTTAGAAAAAATGTTCCTTCCGTTGGAACTTCAACACTCTTGTTGGAGCAAATCTTCAATGAAGTGTTGAGAATCTTGTTTCTTACAAAACGGTATTCATAGTACAGCAACAAAAGGGATTACTTCTGAAGTAGTTATCTTCTTTACCCTAATTTTCTTCACAAGATATCTTCTTAGCAAGACACCCAATCAATAAATAAACTTAAGTCACCAGTCAAACAACTCAAGCAGGAAGACCATGAGTGACCATCCGTGAGGGACAAGTTAAAGTAAGGGACTGTCTAGGACGAAAACATCGTTGTTCCAGCATTGATACAACAAAACATAGATTACACAAGGTTCCTAAAACTATGAATAGCAATGGGTAGCTTTGCATTATAAGAGAACCATCAAATGTACTACTAGAAGTCAGCAATTTGCACCCAGCGGTAAGGATTGTGACAGAGGCAAAGGTTACACAGAAGAGACTTTTTGTTCCCAGTTCAAATATGCTTCTTGTTGATACTGTATTTTAATTGCCATTAATATAAATACTGCACAGATATGGTTCACGATCACAGAATGTCCCTTTGTTGTGTTTGCTAAATTTTATATTCTCCAGCTAGAGCGAAGGTGGCCTTATTAGCATTTCTTTTACCATTCGTTAAAAGAACAGTGCTTTAGACTCTTTTAGGCAATTAAGGCTCACTTCTCTAACAAAACTTTCGATCACTCTTTTTAAAAAACTATATACAACGTACAAGAATTGACTGGGATGGCACTCTGTCTGGGATGGCACTCTGTCAAATATTGATTTGGAAGTGATATATAACAGGTAGATTTCTTCAATCTTTATTTAAATTTCAGTGATTGATTTCTTTAATCTTTGTTTGCCAGATCTTAACAGCTAATCCAATATGTTGAGCGAAATATAAACCCAAAAAACAAGAAAAAAGAACACGTCATGCGCATTTTTTAAAGGAAAACAATTCATTAAGTTAACGTGGAATGATTGCAAGACTTCCCAAACGCTTTAATAATGTACAAGTATTCTTTAACATTAGAGTTTGATTTGAAACGCCAAAAAGTTATACGGAGTACAACATTAATTTTTTCCTGGGAAAGGGAGCATTGACTATTATTTCTCGACGAGTGATTTTGACGACATAACACGACTGTAAATTTACTCGGCACCGAGTAGATCCATCATCACCATTGGAGGCATAAATTTTAATCAAGCTTTCTAATTTTCACACACAACACACAGATTTAATATATTTATAAGCGCATTGGTATTCTTCGTTAGAGTACATTTTCAAATTTTGGATTCCAAAACAAAAAATTTGCCCCAATATTAAAAAGGTATTCGATTCTCACGCTTTGCAGGTGGTGGAACTTCATGGTCTTCTTTCTGGTAATCCAGATTTCAAAAAAAAATCGATTTCCAAAGGAAAAATGAACGAGTTCTTATCTTGTATGGGATATATGATATTTAACAAATATTAGTTCGTTCGTATTCTCTTCCGACTCGCTGATAGAGGTGAGAAAACGACTAAATGATTGAGATTGTAATAAATGAAAGGCCATCATAAGCAAAGCTCTAAAACAAGGTAAAATATGGTTACAGATCCAGCATAACAAATCCATCACCAAAAAGCAAAAACATATGACCCGAATCAAGCAACGGCTAGACACGAAAATACAAACCGGTTTCGCGAATTCAATCTTAAGAGGATTCCCGCGGAGCAATGTTCCCTGCAGCGCCTCCTTGGCGGCCATGGCATCTTTTAGGGTTTTGAAGTGGACGAAGGCATAGCTGCGGACGGAGTAAGAGGATATGCTGTCAACCTGGCCGTACCTTTCAAACAGAGCGGTGAGCTCGGCTTCAGTCACGTCGGGGGTGAGATTGCCAACCCACAGATTGTTCGTGGGCGTGTCGAACTCTTGCTTCGCCGAGAAGGTTGTAGGCGGCGGCGGCATCATAGAAACCCTAGGCTGCATAAATTGTCCCCCGTAGATTTCCTCAAAAGGGAAGGAACACAAAAAAAAAAAACACTGAAAACGCGATTGGAGAAATCGAATTAATATCTATGGGTATCTGTAGAGAGAGGCCGTGCGACGTCGTAGGAGGTATCCGAGAATTAGATGGAAGGAAGAGAGTGAATATGAAAGCCGTGAAGGAGAGAATGCGTAGTCCTGAAACGGATCGGTAAACTGCATGACACTTGAGATAAATAGATGGCTCTTGAGTACTTCATGCTTCGTATCTAGGGTTACAATTTGCAAGCTCATACTTGTATAGACTGTATATACCTAGGCACGGTTAGCTTAAATTAGTAAAACTCATAATATTATTATGAAATTTCTAATAATTCGGTATAGTCTGATTCTAAACTTAAAATCATTTTGTATCATAGTATTTTTGAAACAGTTTAAAATGGTGCGGTGCAATATCAAAGCAATGTTAAAATATTTGAGAAAAAATATTACTCTCTTCGTCTCATTTATATTGTCTCATTTTACCTTTTCAGGAAGTCCCACTTAAATTGTCTCATATCATATTTGGCAAAGTTTGTGTGGCTCTAAATCATTCTTACTTTATTCTTACTTTATCAATTAATATCAACCACGCAAACCCACTTTTCTTAATAATCGTGTCACCCTCTTCCGGGACAATATAAATGGGACGGTAGTATAATTAGTCATTGTGACCATATAGCCTATTATGAAGTGTTCACACAAAAAAAGGTCATACTTAAGATGGTTTTACTTTGACTGAAATTTTATGGTCTGCCCTGATCTGTTTAAGTTTGGTCTGAACTAGTATGATCTTGTATGGAAGATGTCCCGTCTCTGTGTATTTTATAGTTGTCAAAGTTTGGTCTGGTCAGGTCTAGTTTGTTTAAGACTGATCTGATTTGATTTGATCTGAACTGAAATAAATCTAAGTAAAAACATCTCAAATGCTAAGGAAAATTCAAGAGGCTATATTTTTTACTTTATACGAAGTATTTTGTAAATACACAAAATTGTGCAACAAACATACAGAAAATATAATAAAATGACTATACATCAGACTTCACCTTCACTCAAAGCATAAAATGAATATCATCACGTAGTTGAATATAGTAGAAAAGCTCGTCATTCTTCATATGTATGTGTTCTAGATTGAATACTGTGAAATAATGAAACAGGATGCCCTCTTAGGAGTCCTGACAGGTATATTTATAGTAAAAGAGTTTTAATGTAAAAATACATAAATATCCTTATTCTATTACACCCCCTCAAGCTGTGCGGGAGATACAACGCGCAGGTTGTCTTTTAAAAAATGAAAACGCTGACTAGGGAGGCTTTTAGTAAAAATATCTGCCAGCTGCAAGTGTGTAGGAACGTGTTTAACAAGAAGATCTCCATGAGCTACTCTTTCACGAACAAAATGATAGTCAATTTGAATGTGCTTACTGCGAGCATGCTGAACTGGATTAGCAGACAAATAAGATGCAGAAATATTATCACATAACAAATGAACAGGTTCGGTGACTGGGAAACCGAGTTCGAATAAAATTGACCGAATATGTAGTGTATCCTGTACGGTGTATGCAATTGCCCGATACTCAGCTTCCGTGGAGGACTTTGACACAGTAGGCTGCTTCTTTGACTTCCATGATATAAGATTTGGTCCCAGAAATACAGCAAATCCAGTGGTGGAGCGAGAGCTATCTGGGCATCCAGCCCAATCAGCATCAGAATATGCAATAACACAGGTGGGCTTGGCCGCACTTTGGAGCCACAGACCATGATCACGTGTGCCCTGTAGGTACCTAAAAATTCTTTTGACTGCAAAAAGATGAGTAGTACGTGGGGCATGCATAAATTGTGACACCAAGTGTACTGCATAAGTAATATCTGGCCGTGTCAAAGTTAAATATTGCAATGCACCTACCATGCTGCGATACTCAGTGGAATCTGAAAGTAGCTCACCGTCAGATAGAGATAACGTGGTGCGAGATGCTAATGGAGTGCGAACAGGTTTAACCGTATGCAGATGAAAACGATTAAGAAGATCATAAATATACTTAAGCTGAGAAAGAAATAGACCGTAAGTGGTCCTATGCGCCTCAATCCCCAAGAAGTAATGTAAGTTACCCAAATCCTTCATGGCAAAGTGATTAGAAATGATACAGATAAATTTAGAAATAGCAGACTGAGAATTACCAGTAATAATAATATCATCTACATAGAGTAATAAATAAATGATAGTATTATTATGGCGATAGATGAAAAGAGAATTATCAGATTTACTACAACAAAAATTGTGCTGAAGAAGAAAACTACTAAATCTATGAAACCAAGCACGGGGAGCTTGTTTCAGACCATAAATGGCCTTACGCAAACGACATATATGATCAGGAAATTGGGGATGGGTAAAACCGCGGGGCTGGCGCATATAGACTTCTTCAGTAAGATGACCATGTAAAAAGGCATTTTTAACATCCAGTTGTCTAATGACCCAACCAAAAGAAACAGCAAGAGTAAGAACAATTCGAACGGTAGTAGGTTTAACAACGGGACTAAAAGTTTCAGAGAAATCAATACCAGCTTGTTGATTAAACCCCTGAGCAACTAACCGAGCCTTATGACGTTCAACAGACCCATCTGAATTAAATTTAGTTTTATAAATCCACTTACAGCCAACCACATTCTTAGTATTATCAAAGGGCACCAAATCCCAAGTATTATTATTAATGAGAGCATTAAATTCATCAGCCATTGCTTCCCGCCATTTTAAATGTTTATTAGCCTCAGTAAAGCACGTAGGATCAACTGAATTAACAACTGTACTTAAGTTAAAAACAGTTTTAGGTTTAAAAATTCCCGACTTAGCACGAGTTTGCATGGGATGCATGTTGACTAATGGGGGCGGTGAGTCCATGCTAGATGTCGGCATGCTGTCCTCGGGTGGGGTAGGTAAACTCACGCTGGGGGATTGGGATGCTGTCCTAGTGGCCGAACGTACGGGAGACATGGCTGGGGTTTCGGGATTGGACACTGGGTTGGATGTATTGGTTGACTCAATAGGAGAAGTTGAAACTGGAGTAAGGGGAGAGGAAACCGTGAGGTCAGGTGATGGTGGATTTGTCAAGACAGGAGATGGTGATGGGAGACGAGGAATAAGTGTAGGAGGGCGAGTAAAAGTGGGTTGGTCATTAGGCTGTGGTGAAGAAGAAGGAGTATGGGTCGGGGAGGAGAGATTTTGAAAGGGATAAATATCCTCATGAAATCTAACGTGGCGGCTAATATATACCCGACCTGTGATAGGATCAAGACAACGGTAGCCCTTGTAACCAGATGCATATCCAATAAAAACACACTGAATAGATCTGGGAGAAAGTTTATTAGTTGAGGTAGCAGAAAAATTGGGGTAACAAGCAGACCCAAACACACGCATGAAAGAATAGTCGGGGATGCGTTGAAATAATTTTTGGTACGGAGAAATACCATTTAATGTAGGAGAAGGTAATCTGTTAATAATATAAGCAGCAGTAAAAATTGCATCAACCCAGTATTTACTCGGTACAGATGCTTCAAGAAGCATTGTGCGGGTTAATTCTAGGAGATGACGGTGTTTACGTTCAGCGACCCCGTTTTGTTGGGGTGTGTCAGGACAAGATTTTTGAAAATAAATTCCATGAGATAGGAAAAAGTGCTGCATATTATGATTAACAAATTCACCACCTCCATCACTTTGAAAAATTTTAATTTTCTGATTAAAAAGATTTTCAACCAAAACTTTAAAATTTTTAAAGTGTGTGAAAACTTCACTTTTATGAGTCATAGGATAAAGCCATGTATAGCGAGAATAATCATCAATAAAGCAGACATAATATTTGAACCCCAAATTAGAATAAACTGGAGACTGCCAAACATCAGAATGAATAAGTTGTAGTGGAAAAGATGAATTATGAATAGCATCATTAAAGGGCAAACGTTGTGATTTTCCTAATCGACAGGCCACACAAGCATGAGTAAAAGGAGAATTAGTACATAAAAATTGATGTCTTTTGAGAAACTGTAAAACATTGTCACCACAATGACCTAATCTACGGTGCCACACAGGGCCAGAAGCTAAAACGGATGCAAGAACCAAAGGTGTTGAAGACGGCAGGCTGAGAGGATAAAGTGGTCCATTACTGGTAGCTCGTAGAAGTACCGCCCCCGAGGTTTTGTCCTTTACCAAAAATGAATTTTTATCAAAAACCACAGTACAGTTGTTATCAGCACAAAGTCGTTGGATGGAAATTAAATTATACTTTAACTGAGGAACATGGTAAACAGATTTTAAGGTAAGCGGACGGCCCGATGAAGGTAAGGCAACATCACCAACATGATAAATGGGTAAATGGGCACCATTGGCAACACTAACAGAATTATAGCCGGTGTAAACAGATTTATTAACTAAATTACCTTCAGATGCAGTCATATGAGCAGATGCTCCCGAATCAGGATACCATAAGGCCGAATTAGATTCCCCAGGAGTTGTCAACAGCGCTGGAGCAGAGGGTTGAGTGAAACGAGACGGGCAAGAAAGGGCGGAGTGACCTGCAGAAAAACAGATTTGACAAACAACGGGATGGGGAACTGCACCAAGAATACCACCATCCGATGACGAGCCCGGTGAAGCCGCACCCCCTGTCGATGTGCTGCCTCCAGCAACTGCAAATACTGGTGGAGGATGGCCGGAGTGAGGATACCAAAGAATCGGCTGACCATACTGTCCAGGAGGCTGGCCCCGTCCACGGCCACCGCGCCCACCGCGGCCTCTGCCGCGTCCGCGACCCCCACGACCGCGCTGAGGAACCCCGCCAGGCCGCTGGTGCTGCTGCTGTATGCCGGCGGGCTGAAGCTGCTGTTGTGGACCGACCGGAGGAGCGTGCTGGGCTGGAACTTGGACCCCGAAGGCTTGATGAGCCGCCGAGGTGTCTTGAGACCGAAGATACAACACCCGTTGTTCTTGTTCAAGGAGATGAGTACGAAGTGTCTCAAAAGGAAAATTTTGAGGAAAAAGAGACACCGTAGTGAACAGTGATTCATATTCAGGGCCAAGTCCCATAATAGTAGTTTTTAACAATTCACGCGGAGCAACTGGACAATTAATTGTGGCAAGATCATCTGCCAGAATTTTTATCTCACGCAAATAATTATCCATGGATTGATCAGGTTTCTTTTTAGTTTGACCAAGTAATCGCTTTAATTCCATTGACCGTGCCAAACT